CCTATGATGACAGCCAATCTTCTGTTTAACGGTATATGTTCTTGCATACTTTTGTGCTTTAATAATTCCTCAATTTTCGGTTATCTATAGTGTCAATCAATAAAACAAACAAAAGCTTCTGGGGGGTCCTCAAGAAGTTTGAGAAAACTGCTGGTTGAGACCAATCACTCTACAAATTAAAGTTTAGATGTAAGAATGGAAAATGAGTGCAGTACAGAGATATCTGAGACACAAATGTTTTGAATACTGGAAAATAGTCCAAAGTCATATGAAATGATATTTTTAAGGGATAGTCTAAGATGAAGGCAGAGATAAAAAGGGGGAGGGAAAGAGAGATAAAAGTTTGCTAATTGCTAACATGTGAAATGTCATAGCAGCTATCACCGCAGATTCTATAGACATCAAAATAATAATAGGTAATATTTAGTCATTATGACAATAAATTTAATAACTTGGATGGAATGGACAAATTCCTTAAAATACATAACTTACCCAAAAGGGCATATATGAAATAAAAATTCAAAATAGCCCTATATCTATCAAAGTAATTAATTTTGTCAATGGAATCTCCAAACAAAGTCAATTCCAGGCTCATATGTTTTGCAGGTGAATTCCTTCAAATATTTAAGGAAGAAATGATGCCAAACACACACAAACTCTTTCAGAAAATAGAGGAGGAATGAACATTTCCCAATGTGTTTGGAAAATTAACATACCTATGCCAAATCTGACAAAAATATAGGAAAATTCTAAGCTAATATCAAGACACAAAAGTACTTAAAATTATTAGCAAATTGAGTGCAGCAATACACAAAAGGGGAGGCAATACAAGTTGCAGCTACTTCACTATGCAAATAATCACCTGACTATAGACAACCCAACCTGCACCCCTGTTAACCAACCCTGTAGTCCGGAGCCTCAGCCACATTTGTAAATCTGTGTATGTTGAACTCAAGGAGGTCTACTCTTGATCTCCTCCTGCTCTGAGAGTCAGCATTTATTTTATCCATAGAAATGAATTTTTTAATGCATGTTTGAAGTGAAATAAGCCAGTCAGAGAAAGACAAATACCATATGATCTCATTTATATGTGGAATCTAATGAACAAATTAAACTGACAAAAAAAAATTGAAACAGAGGCATGGATACACGGAACAGACTGAAAGCTGTCAGATGGATGAGGGAACTGAATGAAAGAAGGGGAAGAGATTAGCTAAAGAACATACATATATAACCTATGGGCACAGACAATAGTGTTGTGATGGACAGAGGGAAGGGGGTTATGGGGACTGTGTGAAGGTGGGCCCAAAAAGGGGAAAATGAGAACATCTGTAATAGTGTCAATAATAAAGATAAAGAAAAAAGGATGAATGGAAAAATAAATAAAAAGCACATTTGAATATCAGATATATCTGCAGTGAGAGATAATTAAGATAAATAAAATAATGAGATAATTAAGAATGTATCATTATTTTGATTGAAAAGATTTTTCTCTTTACATATGAGCCTTGGAATAAAATGAGATACACTTTCTCAGTTTTATATCTTTGGAAATATTAAATATTTATAAATTGATAGTCATATCTTTGATTTTTAAATGTATAGCAATGCAAGTTTAAAATGAGTACTATGTTGTCCCACGTGTCTTGAAGTGACTCTCCTGCTTTGTGAGATGAGTGCTGGGTGGGGTGTAGAATTTGGCCCAGAGTTGAACCCTGTTCTGTGATGAGGTGATGGATAGTGACTGGAGCCTTGTCATTCTTGATCTGAAATCTCCTATGCTTTTGAATGACCACTTATTTTTTTTTTTAATTTTCTTTAATCTGCAGTTGAGAATATATGTTTATTCATTTTAGAGAGAGAGAAAGGGAAAGGGAGAGAGAAAGAAACATTGATCAATTGCCTCCTGCCACATGCCATGAAGAGAGATTGAATCCACAACATAGCCGAACCTGCAACCTTTTGGTGAACAGGATCATGCTACAACCAACTGAGCCACTTAGCCAGGGCTAAGCTTCCTTTCTCTCAGAAATTTAACATTGCTGCCCTTTTTCCTAATCCTGAAAGCTGCAATGAAATTAAGACCAACTTGGAACTGTTACATTCTATTTTGTATGTGTCTTCTTCCTTTTCTTAGATACTTATTAATTCCTGTCTTTTCCTTAAAATATCTTAGCTTTACCAATGAGTGAAGGGAAATCAATCATTTCATAGCATTTATATTTAACGAGGTGTGTCACTTTGATTTCAAAGATTCCATGTTCCCATTGTTTTATGTTGTGAATATGGAGAATTATTATATCTGTTCTTTTATTGAGTAGCTACTGTATGCTTGGAAATTTCTTGCAGTCATAAGTGTTATGAACAAAACAATACTAGGATGAAGTAAAAATACTACTTTAGAAGAAAAATAAACAAAGTTATGAAAAGGTCATGATGTGTAGGGATAAAAGGTAAGTAACCAGAGGAAGCATATTCTCAATCAGATAGGAAAGATCCATGGGATGTAGGTGGAGAGACAATTATAGGATTTTAGCACCACAGGAAGGCCTGTGTGGCTGGGCACATAGGTCTGGGAGAACCAAGGGAGAAGGAGATGTCTGAAAGGTGGTCTGGCATCAATCTTTAGGATGGGCTGCCAAACAACGGCCAACAGGCCCAGTCAGGCCCAACATCTGATTCTGTGTGTCTGTGAATTAAGGACTTTTTAAAATATTATTTAACGGTTGGGGGAAAACTAAAAAACAATATGTCAAAATTATATGCAATTCAAATTTCAGTGTCATCAATAAGATTATTGGACAGCTATGCCACCTTTTGCCTATGACTCCTTTTCCGTTAGGGTGGCCAGGCCATGGTGGGTTGCAATGCCTCCATTATTCACCATTTGACTCTTTAGAGAAGATGGTTTTATGACCATGCCTTATGACACTCTTAGTAAGTAGGGAGAAAGGATTTAATGGTATGCTTACTGGGAAGTTTCTAGAAGCTGCTAAACACAGGTGTAGCACTCTGCTAATGTGCAGTGGATTGCTGGTGGGTAGGTAGGAGAGCAGGAAGAGGAGAGATTAAGGGGCTGAGGTGTGTGGCAGGAATGCATGTGGGAGGCCATGCTTGCCAGGAAGCTATGGGGCAGGGGACAGAGCCCTGAGACTCCAGATGAGTCCAAGGCAGGAGGAGGAGAGAATGGGTGGGATCATGGGCAAACCTTGATTGTCTGGGAACAACCAGGTGAACAGTGATACCATTTATTAGGAGGAGGAGAGCTCAGGGCCGGGCTTTGGATTAGATCCCAGAGTGAGGAGGACATAGGAGGTGTGGTTTGAAATTTGTGCACAAGGATCCAAGGTGGAAACAGTAAGCAGGTAGTTGTATTTTATGTTTTAGTTTATTGGCAAAGGTTTGGGCTTGAGACAGGAGTATTTGAGTTAACATGGGAACAGTGTTAAATCAATGGAATAGAGGAGCTCATTCTGGAAGAGAAGGAAGCTGAAGGAGGCTGAAAGTGGCTCCTGAAGTAAGTCCACTAGGAAGCTAGCTGCTCAACTGATCTGTGTAGTCAGTTAATTTATTCCTTTAATGTTTTAACCTCAGTATACAGACTTTTCTGTACCTAGTGTTCATCACTGCATTTTAAGAAGTGTGTACTTTCCTTTTGCGGATTTAGCCAGAGAGGACGGGTCAGAGAGGGTGGCAAAGTCAGCCCAGCCCTGTACCTGGGAAGTGACAGATAGGAGACTGCTTGGGAAGGGGGGTGCCTTTGGAACAGACATTTCAGCCTAGATAAGAAGGGCAGGAAAGTCCAAATAAAAGACTGTTGATAAAGTGGAGTTTGCTAGCTCAGACCTGGGGATCTGGGGCACGTGCAGGGAGTGAGGACTGGGGGCTGGGTCAAGTTGTGAAGGGATACACTTGGGTGATGAGTGACACAGACATGGATGTCTGGGGACCTGAGGCTGCTGACTGGATGTAGATGTGGACACTAGCATTGGTCCTGGTTAGTCAGGTGTGAGACTGTGACACATTCAAGGATTCAAGGTGCAGCTTCATGAGTAGGTTGGTCCAAATAGTCCCTTTGCATTTGGTTCTGGAAGTGACTACACCCTGCTTTGGGTGACACTGATGTGGCCATGTGTGAGTAGTAAAACTATTTAAAAAGTAGAAAATACTGAGCATTCCCCATGTCTCTCACAGGATCAGATAGAGTTGGCCACAGCACTGGGTCCATCTTTTGCCTGTTTACTCTTTTCTCTATATGAAAAATAATTCAAAGATAAAATATATATTATCTTGGCAAGGACCCCATGTTGTTTCCTTTCTGTTTGTTACTCATTTCTGAGATAGGACGTGGCAGTGAGCCAGGGAAATCAGCAAATTTCATTGTAAATCTGGAGTAAAATAATTTCTACACACATTTTCCACAGCTACTGGCATTTCCTCCTTCAGAAAACAAGCCATGCATGAGCCATGTCCTTGACTCTCCTTTGCTCGTACCTGCTCTGCTCAGCTGACTCTACATGCCTGTGCCTTCCCTGGCCCTTCACCCCAGGTTCCCAGGAGTTTTCTCCAGGTTTGGAGGACCAAGGGGCTATAGGAAGTAGAGAAAGGCATTTCCTTCTGTGCCTCTGCTGTTTTCAGCTGGGACTTCATCATCTCCAGGACACCCTGTGACCTATTCTTCTCTCACATTTACTAATTTTGCATGAACTCTGCCCCTGCAGTGAGGCCCCTGCATTGTTGGGGTAGACTTCCCTGACAATGCCCTTGAATCCATGTTGATAACACCTGATATTTTTCCATTTTCCTCATCTGATCCTAAGTTTGCAAAGTGTGAAGGACCATAGTTATAATTTTTGATTTGGTCACAAGGATCTTTCCTCATTCTTATCTTTTGGTTACTATTATTGCATTTGATGGAGTGTAGCAGTGTGTATGTGAAAAATGCCATCATTTGCCATTTGGTTCAGGGATGCTGATAGTAGAGAGGCAGTACAGTTAATATGGACAAGGTAAAGCATTCTGGAGACACTTGCCTGAACTTGGTCACAGCTCCAACCCCTTTTAAGTGTGCAGTCTTGTAGCCCAAATTCTATCACTTCCCTTTGCCCAGTACAGCAGAGATAGAGTGTCTACATAATGATATTGTTGTTGAGGTGGAATAAAGTATCATAAAGCACTTAAAACAGTACCTGGCATACAAAAAGGATCATGTCATTGCTAAGTATTCTATTATTACTGAGACTGTAGTAATTACTATACTTCAATATTAATTATGTACTGATACCTCGTATCTTCAGTTTCCTTTTTTAGTTAATTTTTCCAGCTGGACTCAATGAATTAAAACCTCCTCTTATGGTCCATAGTGTTTGCTAAACTGTTTCATATTGTTAGCAACCCACACATATCTGTTGTATTAAAATGAATTGAGAGTCTATGATAGTTTATGCTCATTGAAAATCTGATTATGCATCTTTTAAAACATCCAGTTCTTAATCTGCAGAAGTGTTGTCATTGGTCTCTATGCCTTTTGAAACAAAAGACACAGAAAAATATATCCAGATGCAATGCAACTTAAATTCAGTAACCCTTTCTTTTCCTCTGGATGTTCATTGGATATGAAATATACAGGTGTAAACATTAGAACCTAGTCACCATTTGTTACTAACATTATAAAAAAAAGTTTTTTTATATGGATTTGCTAATTATAAGCATTTTATCTTTGCTTTATTGCTTTTTTTTCATATTCAGATATATAAACAATCCATGGAAAATCTTTTACCCACTCCCACAAAATCTCATTACACTTTCAACTTGAGGGATTTTGCACGTGTCATCCAGGGCTGCTTACTCATTGAAAGGGATGCCGTGGAGAGCAAGCACACCATGATCCGGTTGTTTGTGTATGAGGTTCTTCGAGTGTTTTATGATCGCCTCATTAATGATGAGGATCGATACTGGCTGTTCAATTTAACTAAAGTTGTTATAAAGGACCATTTTAAAGAATCATTTGCTAGTGTCTTTTCACATTTGAGGAAAGAGAATTCACCAGTGAGCATATTTAGTGATTGAAAACATTAAGTTAAAACAGTATAGTAGCATGAATTATTACAATCAACTTATCTTTTTTTCTTTTGCCAACTATATATTTTTTTCCAAGATTATTCACATAGGTAATTTATTTATTTTTTATTTTATTTTTTTAAATTTATTTACTTTTTAAATACATTTGTCTCTGCCTCCCCCCCCACCTCTTTCCCTTGCCCCTCCCTCCTTCCCTCCCTCAGCTCTTCCCCTTATGTTCATAGCAGCACAATTTACAATAGCCAAGTGTTGGAAACAACCTAAATGCTCATCAGTAGATGATTGGATCAAAAATTTATGGTACATATACACAATGGAATACTATGCAGCAGAAAGAAAAAAAAGAACTACTAAACTTCGTGACAGCATGGATGGAACTGGAGAGCATCATGCTAAGCGAAATAAGCCAGGGGGCAAAAGACAAATACCATATGATCTCACCTATAAGCGGAACTTAACCAACAATGCAAAGATGCAAGGAAAATATGACCAGCAACACTGAAAGGAAAAGAAATCAACAGAGACAAGAGAGAAGGGGGGGCAGGGAAAGGGAAGGGAAGGGGAAAGTCAAGGAACATATAGCAAGGACTCATGGATAAAAAAAATTTTTATTGGATTCAAGATAGCAAAAGAGTGATTGGAAGTTACACTGACCTCCTCCCAGAACCATCGTGGAATTACAACTAAACTGAAGAAATCACCTGGAAAACAAATGCACAATAGTGAGAGAGGAGCCTTAAAACCTCAGACAGATAGACGAATAAGCTTCAGCAAACTTAATTGATAAGGAGTGCGGTAGAGGCTCAAGAAGGTGCACTAGGTACCCACCGGTGGCAGAGCCAGAGGGATATTGAAACAGCAAGTTGGACCCCCCTGAGAAGAGGAAGGCCTAAACCATAAGTGGGAATCTCCAGCTTACAGCACCAGAGCCCAAAAAGTACACAGACAACAGCCAGCTCTGAAAAGCAGCAGAGGGTTCTCTACCAGAGACAGGCAGCTGGAGACAAAATGAGCTGTTTAAAGGACCAAAGCAAAAATTTGTAGTGGAAGCCACTTACCCTGGGCTCTGGTGGAGGCTGGAGCAGAAGGTGCTGGAGCTGCCTTCCGAGAGACTGGAGAAGGAGGCTTTGGGGAGAGGACTGAGAAAGTGGTTTGGGGGTCCCGGTGCTCACTCCTCTCCGACATGGCAGCAGCCATCTTGCTCAGGCAGAGCACTCCCCTGAGCTGCAGCAACTTGGAGGGACACAGTAGCCATGCCCCCAGGAGGCTTATCCCCAGCCTGGTGTTGTACAGGCCTGGGTACTGAGTACAGAGTGGCAGCCACAGATGTTACATCTCTGGCTAAAGGGGATGTGGGATCATCTAGAAACACTTGAGGAATGTCTGAAGGAGACATTGGGGAGAGAACTGAGGGAGTACCCAAGGAGATCCTGATGATGACCCCCGCCCCCCCCACACACAACAGCAGCCTTCTTGTGCAGACACACCACTCCCCTGAGCAGCAGATGCATGAAAGGATCCAATAGCCTTGCCCCCAGGAGGCTCAGCCCTGGGCCGGTGTAGGGCAAACCGTACTGCTGAGTACAGACAGCAGTTACAGGTAGTAGATCCCTGGATAAAGGGGATGCAGAGTGGTCTAGAAATGCTTGAGGAAAATCTGGAGGTATAGGCATTGAGGAGAGGACTGAGGGAGTAGCTGGGGGGACCCCAGTGCTTACTCCTCCACCATACGACAGCAGCTATCTTGCTCAGGCAGACTACTCACCTGAGTGGCAGCAGCATGAAAGGGCCCAATAGCCCTGTCCACAAGAGGGACTCTGCCTAGCCCTGACTGCTGAGGGAAGAGTGAAAAGGATAACGACTGGAGGAGACAGACACAGACGGCAGATTCCTGAAAGTCTCTTAAAGACTGCTTGAGATCAGGTGAGGTGAACAGATGACATCTACCAAGACTACTCTACCCATCAAGGCTCTAAATTAAAATTGAAGGTGAAGTAAAGAGTTTGTCAGATAAAAGAAGGCTAAAAGAATTCACCTTCACCAAACCAGCACTACAAGATATGCTAAAGGGACTGCTTCAGGAAGATGAAGAAAAGGAGTAATAATGACAGGATCACAGGTACAAAGGTAAAAAAATGAATAAGTATCTCTCAATAATAACTTTACATATAAATGGATTAAGTGCCCCAAACAAAAGACATAGGATAGCAAAGTGGATAATAAAACAAGACTGATACATATGCTGCCTAAAAAGACCCACCTCAGAACAAAGGAACTACACAGACTGAAAGTGAAGGGATGGAAAAAAATATTCCAAACAAATGGACAGAAAGAAAAGCAGGGGTAGCAATATTTATATCAGACAAAATAGATTTCAAAACAAAGGCCATAAAAAGAGACCCAGAGAGACACTTCATAATACTCAAAGGAAGAATCCATCATGAAGACATAAATATTGTAAACATCTATGCACCCAAGAGAGGAGCATGCCAATATATAAGGAAAATCTTGAATGATTTCAAGAAAGATATAGACATTAGCAAACTGATTGTAGGGGATTTTAACACCCTACTGTCAAAATTGGGTAGATCTACCAAACATAATATCAACAAGGATATTGTGGAACTGAACAACGCATTAGATCAAATAGACCTAACTGACATGTATAGAATCTTTCATCCCAAAGAAGCAAATGACAGATTCTTTTCAAATGCACATGGAACATTTTCAAAGATAGACAACATGATAGGACACAAAACAAGCCTCAACAAATTCAGGAAAATCAAAATCATAACAAGCATTTTCTCTGACCACAGTGGCTTGAAACTAGAAACCAACCTCAAGGAAAAATGTCAAAAACATTCAAAATCACGGAGATTGAACAGCATGCTATTAAACACAGAATGGGTCAATAATGAAATCAGAGAAAAAATCAAAAGGTTTCTGGAAACAAATGAAAATGACCACACAGCAATACAAAACCTATCAGACACAGCGAAGGCAGTCCTGAGAGGGAAGTTCATAGCAATACAGGCTTACCTAGAAAAGATAGAAATATTTCTAATAAATGACCTAACCATCCAGCATCAAGAACTGGAGAAGCAACAACAAACAAATGCCAGAGAGAGTAGAAGAAAAGAAATAATCAAGATAAGAGCAGAATTAAATGACATAGAGACTAAAAGAACAATTCAAAGGATCAACCAATCCAGGAGCTGATTCTTTGAAAAGATAAACAAAATCAACAAGCCTTTAAGCAGACTCATCAAGAAAAAAGGGAAAGGACCCAAATAATAATATCAGAAATGAAAGAGGAGAAATAACAACTGATACCACAGAAATACAAAGGCTTATAAGAAACTACTATGAACAATTATATGCCAAGAAATTTGAAAACCTCAATGAAATGGACAAATTTCTAGAAAAGTATAACATTCCAACACTGAATGAAAAAGAAGCAGAAAGCCTGAACAAACCAATAACAGCTTGTGAAATTGAAGCAGTAATCACAAAACTCCAGGCACACAAAAGGCCTGGACTGGGCAGTTTCACAGGAGAGATTTACAAAGCATCTAAGGAAGAACTGACCTCTGTCCTCAGACTATGCAAAAAAATCCAAGAAGAAGAAAGACCCCCAAATTCTTTTTATGAGGTCAATATCATTCTAATCCCCAAACCAGGAAAAGACACAACAAAAAAAGAAAACTACAGGAGAATATGGTTGATGAACATAGATGTTAAGATATCCAACAAAATATTGGCAAACCATATCCAGCAATACATTAAAAAGGTCACCCATCATGATCAAGTAGGAGTCATTCCAGGGATGCAAGGTTGGTTCAATATTTGCAAATCAGTAAGCCTGTTACATCACATAAACAAAAGGAAAGACAAAAGTCACATGATCATATCAATAGATGTAGAAAAAGCATTTGATAATGTACGGTACCCATTTATGATAAAAACACTCAGCAGAGTATGAATAAAGGAGGTGTACCTCAATATAATAAAGGCTATATATGAGAAACAGTCAACCTCATATTCCATGGCCATAAACTAAAAGCTTTCCCACTAAGATTGGGAAGAAGACAAAAATGTCTGCTTTCACCACTTCTATTCAACATAGTATTGGAAGTTCTAGCCACAGCGATCACCCAAGAAAAAGAAATAAAAGACATCCATACAGGTAAAGAGGAAGTAAAACTATCGTTGTTTGCAGATGACATGATAGAGTACATAGAATATCCCACAGACTCCACCAGAAAACTATTTGATCTAATAGGTGAATTTGGCAAAATAGCAGATACAAAGTCAATATTCAGATATTAAGGTGTTTTTGTACACCAGAAATGAAATATCAGAATCAGAAAACAGGAAAAAAAAATCCCCTTTTCTCTAGAAACAAAAAATAAAGTATCTAGGAACAAACTTAAGCAAGGAAGTAAAAGACCTGCACACAGAAAATTACACAACACTGAAGAAAGAAATTAAGGAAAACACAAATGAATGGGAGTGTATACCGTGTTCATGGATTGGAAGAATGAACATCATCAAAATGTCCATACTACCCAAAGCAATTTATAGAGTCAACACAATCCTTATTAAAATACCAATATGTATTTCTCAGACATAGACCAAACACTTCAAAAATTTATATGGAACCATAAATGACCCTTAACAGCCACAGCAATTTTGAGAAAGAAAAACAAAATTGGACAGATCATAATACCTGACATCAGACTTTATTACAAGGCCACTGTAATCAAAATGGGTTGGTACTGGCATAAGCACAGAAACGTAGATCAGTGGAGCAGAATAGAAAGCCTGGAAATAAACCCATGTCTCTATGGTCGATTAATATTTGACAAAGGGTGCAGAATCATAAAATGGAGTAAAAAGAGCCTTTTCAACAAATGGTGTTGGGAGATCTGGCCAGCTACATGAAAAAAATTGAAATTCAACTACAAACTGACACCATACACAAAAATAAACTCAAGATGGATAAAAGACTTAAATATAAGTCGCGACACCATAAAAATCCTAGAGGAGAACATAGGCGGGAACTCTCAGATATCCCATGAAGCAGTAGTTTCACCGATATGTCTCCTAGAGCAGGAGACATAAAGGAGAAAAAAACAATTTGGATTTCATCAAAATAAGAAGCTTCTGTATGGCTAAAGAAAACATAGACAAAATAAAAAGGGAGCCAACCTTACGGGAAAATATATTTGCCAATGATACCTCAGACAGGGGTTTGTTCTCCAAAATATATAAAGAACTCACACATCTCCACATCAGGAAGACAAGCAATTCAATTTAAAAAATGGGCAAAGGGCCTGGACAGACTCTTCTCCAAGGACAAAAGTAGGGCCCAGAGACATATGAAAAGATGTTCATAATTACTAGCCATCAGAGAAATGGAAATTAAAACCTCAATGAGATAGCACTTCACACCAGTCAGAATGGCCATCACAAAAAAATCAACAAACAACGGGTGTTGGCGAGGTTGTGGAGAAAAGGGAACCCTAGTATAGTGTTGGTGGGAATGCAGACTGGTGCAGCCACTGTGGAAAACATTTGGAATTTCCTCAAAAAGCTAAAAATGAAACTGCTTTTTGACCCAGCAATTCCTCCATTGGGATTATACCCTAAGAATCCCAAAACACCAATTCAAAAGAACCTGTGCAGCCCAATGTTCATAGCAGCACAATTTACAATAGTCAAGTGTTGGAAGCAACCTAAGTGCCCATCAGTAAATGAGTGGATCAAAAAACTGTGGTACAGAATGTTTGTAATGTGCTTAATCACTACCGAGTTATTAAAGAAATTGTGCAGAGCTTTCTCATTGACACCTGCCCTTGATATCTGGCCAGCTTCCTTGAATCAGGGAAGTCGGAACTGGAGAGACAAGTGAAGCCAGAAGCTTGGGTGTCCAAGGGCTCTAGTTCTGATCCTGGCCGTCTGCTGCTGGTGTGCCATGTCTCTGGCTTTCATCCAAAACATGTGTGGGTGATGTGGATGCAGGGTGAGCAGGAGCAATCAGGCACTCAGCAAGGTGGATACCACATCCTCCTGATATGTATCTGTTTGGCTGTATTAGTTACCCTGGTTATCTTGGTTGTGATTAACTCATGGTTTAAAAAGCAAAGCTCAAATCAGAACATCTGCCCTCCCCATGTATCCAAACCTATCTTTCCCACAGAAGCCAACACCCAAGAACATAGTAATTCAGGAAGTTTTCTCTGTTTAGCACAGAAATTATGGATCAAAAACAGATTACAGAAGAAATGAAAGATAAGCCTAAACCAACTCTGATGACATTTGTTTTACATTATACATAAGATACATGTCTGCTTCTTGTTAAATATGGTTCATACAAATAAATAAAATGTGATTTTGTTAAAACAAAAAAAAAACTGTGGTACATTTACACAATGGAATACTACACTGCAGAAAGAAAGAAAGAGCTACTACCCTTCGCAACAGCATGGATGGAACTGGATAGCATTATATTAAGGGAAATAAGCCAGGGGGCAAAAGACAAATACTATATGATCTCACCTATAAGTGGAACCTAGCCAGCAAAACCATCAGTCATGGAAAATATGCCCAGCAACACTGAAAGAAAGAAGGAACCGACAGGGACAGGAGGGAGAGAGGAAGGGGGTTATCTGGGAGGGTTAGGGGAAGAGTCAGATCAAGGAACAGGTAGGGAGGACACATGGATGAAGCCAAGGTGGGGAAGGATTGAGGGCGGGAGGTGAGGGTTCGTGGGGCAGTGGAGAAGGGTGGCAGGTAAAAGGAAACAAATATATTGGAACAATAAAAAATGAAAAGAAAATTTAAAATTACAAAAAATATTTTTAATTTCCTCCTCATAGAAGTGGTTTCACGAGATTTGTCACTTAGGAAATGATCTGATACAGTGAAAATGGGTTAATTTTTATGTTTTGTTCTAGAAGAATTAGATTTCACCCAATTTCAGATTGGCTCTCTGTGTTCCCTCAGAAATCAAATAACTACCAGTGAACAAGCATCCCATTCATCCTCAGTAACAGCATATTTCAAGAGCAAGATTACATTTTTCTTAAAAGATAAAAGGCTCTGGATTTGAAATCTTGAGAATTTTATAAAAGTAGGTTTTAAAATCATGTTTGCTGCTTATCTGTGGGTATGACTATTTCTCCCAAGGTAGAATTTATTAAAGCTACACAAATCGTTCTGATTTTGTTTACTAAGTAGACTTTAATATAGTTTAATTTATGCATGAATAATATGCAAGCTACAGGAACTGTTCCAAAGTCTATGTGAAAATATATGATATTATGTAATTTTTTGCTTGTAGGAAGGCATTTATATGTTGTGGTGCGTTGAATTTTGTCCTCCAAAGTTTCCTAACTTGAAGTACTTGTTCCTGGTCCCTCAGGATGTGCTCTTTTTGGAAGTACGATCATTACAGATGCAGTTAGTTAAGATGAGGTCACCTTGGAGTGGGGTGGCCCCCACTATGTCTGGTATCCTTTATCAAAAAGGAAATGTGGACACAGACATGCAACCAGGAAGAATGTTATGCAAAGACTGGAGTCACAGTACCACAGACCAAAGAGCTACTAAAAGCAAGGACAGAAGGCTGGGCAGATCGATCTTGATGCATTCAGAGGGAGGAACCCCTGCCAGCACCTCCAACTGAAACTTTAAACCTCCAGAACTGTCAGAAAGCCCATGTCTATTGGAGAAGTGATTTAGTTTGTGGCCCTTGTTATTGCCATCCTAGGAAATCAATGCATGTATTACATATAACTACACAATTCACTCTAAGGTTCCTTGTGTCCTTTACATGTTAGCACATACACAAAAATCCCTGCTGTCTGGCTCCTGAGAGCTACATGGCTTAATGTCAGGTGCACAGGATTCCAAATGGTCCTGTTGATCAGCCTCTCAGCAGCCCTAGAACCAAGGCTCTGCCCCAGTCCCTTCTGCTCCACTCTCCTTGCCTTTCATTGTTCTCCTTCTAATGTTTGATAGATTGCTTTTGTTTTTTTGGGAAATATAACATGAAAATATTTTTAAGGAATAAAAGTAATAACTTTCACATTGTGTTTCATATTTAAAAGACCCTCAATTCTGACATTCTGACAATTTGAGGTCACATTAAGAAAAAGATGTATCTACCACAAATCTTTGTAACCTAATTATTTTCCTTTATTTTTCTCATCATAGAAAATGTATGTGTATAAACATGTCTATCAAGGTCTGTCCAGAAAAAGTCCAGCTATTGTTAAATATAATGAGAATAGTTTGTGCAACATCAATGTAACCTAGTAGCCAAGGAGAGTGGACTAAAATGTGTATGCATGAATGATGGCTTCTTCACTGTACTAGACAGTGGGGGTGGTAGCTGTCATTGATTCAGCATGCATACTGTGTGGCTGTCACATTCAAAATGACTGAACGAGAAGACCAATAAATATGTATCCAATTTTGTGTTAATATTAAACATTCCTCCATGGAAACTATTCAGATGACTCAGAAGGCTGCAGCTATGGGTAATTGGTGATTGCCAGATTCATCACAACAATTAGCCCACTCATGTATGGCATCTTGTGCAGAGTTTTTCTGGCAAAACATCAAATTACTCAGGCAACTCAGCCCTTCTAAAGCCTAGATTTGATGCCCTGCAACTTCTGGCTTTTTCTGAAACTAAAATCACCTTTGAAAGGGAAGAGATTTCAGACTGCCAATGAGATTCAGGAAAATGTAATGGGGCAGCTGATAGCACTTGGGAAAACTGTGTGAGGTTTCAAGGTGCCTACCCTGAAAGGGACTGAGGCTTCATTGTCCTATATGTACAATGTTTCTGGTATCTTCTATCTTCTTCAATAAATGTTTCTATTATTTTATTTTTCATATTATGTGGTTGGATACCATCTGGACAGAATATCTGGATAGAACACACACACAAACGCACACCACTTCTTTTTTTGTATAGTTATAATAAAGTCTTATAAGGTATGTTTTTTTTTAATTTATATTTTCAAATACATTTGTCTCTGCCTACCCCCCACCACTTTCCCTTGCCCCCTCCCTCCTTCCCTCCCTTAGCTCTTCCCCTTTGGTTTTGTCCATGAGCCGTTGCTATATGTTCCTTGACTTTCCCCTTCCCTTCCTTTTCCCCGCCCCCCTTTCCCTCTTGTCTCTGTTGGTTTCTTTTCCTTTCAGTGTTGCTGGTCTTATTTTCCTTGAATCTTTGTATTGTTGGTTAGGTTCCGCTTATAGGTGAGATCATATGGTATTTGTCTTTTGCTCCCTGGTTTATTTTGCTTAGCATAATGCTCTCCAGTTCCATCCATGCTGTCACAAAGTTTAGTACTTCTTTTTTCCTTTCTGCTGCGTAGTATTCCATTGTGTATATGTACCACAATTTCTTGATCCACTCATCTACTGATGGACACTTAGGTTGCTTCCAACACTTGGCTCTTGTAAATTGTGCTCCTATGAAATTTGGGGTGCATAGGTTCTTTTGTATTGGCGTTTTGGTGTTCTTAGTGTATATCCCAGCAGGGGAATCCCTGGATCAAAAGGCAGTTCCATTTTCAGCTTTTTGAGGAAATTCCACACTGCTTTCCACAGTGGCTGCACCACTCTGCATTCCCACCAACAGTGGACTAGGGTTCCCTTTTCTGCACAGCCTTGCTGGCAACTGTTGTTTGTGGATCTGTTTATGATGGCCATTCTGACCGGTGTGAGGTGGTACCTCATGGTGGTTTTGATCTGCATTTCTCTGATGGCTAGTGATGCTGAGCATCCTTTCAAATGTCTCTGGGCCTTCTGTATCTCCTCCTTGGAAATGTGTCTGCCCAGGTCCTTTGCACATTTTTTTGATTGGATCGTTTGTCATCTTGGAGTGGAGTCGAGTGAGTTCTTTATATATCTTGGAGATCAAACCTCTATCTGATATATCATTAGCAAATATATTTTCCCATAGAGTTGGCTCCCTTTTCATTTTGCTGATGTTTTCTTTAGCCATGCAGAAGTTTCTTATTTTGATGAAGTCCCACTTGTTTATTCTTTCCTTTATGTCCCTTGCTTGAGAAGACATATCAGTGTAAAATTTGCTGCGTGGGATATCTGAGAGTTTCCTGCCAATGTTCTCCTCTAGGACTTTGATGGTGGTATAAATGGTTATATTTAAGTCTTTTATCCATCTTGAGTTTGCTTTTGTGTATGGTGTCAGCTGATGATCCAATTTCAATTTTTTGCACGTAGGCCTCCAGCTCTCCCAACACTATTTGTTGAAGAGGCTATTATTACTCCATTTTATACTTCTGCCCCCTTTGTCAAATATTAGATGTCCATAGAGACCTGGGCTTATTTCTGGGCTTTCTATTCTGTTCCACTGGTCTATGGATCTGTTCTTGTGCCAGTACCAGATTGTTTTGGGTATAGTAGCTTTGTAGTAGAGTTTGATGCCCGGTATTGTGATCCCTCCTACTTTGTTTGTCTTTCTCAAAATTGCTGCAGCTATTCGGGGTCATTTATGGTTCCATATAAATTTTTGAAATGCCTGTTCTATTTCTGTGAAATACGTCATTGGTATCTTAATAGGGATTGTGTTGAATCTATAAATTGCTTTGGGTAGTATGGACATTTTGATGATATTAATTTTTCCAATCCAAAAGCACGGTATATGCTTCCATTTATTTGTGTCTTCCTTAATTTCTTTCTTCAATGTTGTATAGTTTTCTGCATACAGGTCTTTTACCTCTTTGGTTAAATTTATTCCTAGGTACTTTATTTTTCTTCTTGCTATATTGAATGATATTTTATTTCTATTTTCTTCTTCTTCTATTTCATTGCTGGTGTACAAAAATGCCTTTGATTTCTGAATGTTGACTTTGTATCCCAGACTCTTTTTATGAGGCCAGCATCAAACTAACCCCAAAACTAGATAAAGACCCTACAAAGAAAGAAAACTACAGGCCAATTTCGCTGATGAACATAGATGCTAAAATTCTCAACAAAATATTGGCAAACCACATCCAGCAATACATTCAAAAGATCATCCACCACGATCAAGTGGGATTCATCCCAGGGATGCAAGGATGGTTCAATATACGCAAGTCAATAAACATAATACATCACATAAATAAAAGAAAAGACAAAAACCACATGATCATCTCGATAGTTGCAGAAAAAGCATTCGATAAGGTACAGCACCCATTTATGATCAAATCACTCAGCAAAATGGGAATAAAGGGGGCATTCCTCAACATTATAAAGGTCATATATGA